TTTCTCCGGGCCACGCTTCTTTCCATCTTTGAAACACGACTGACCGCAGGCGCTAATGTCTTACGTCAGAGCGCAAAACAAAAAAAAACGAGAGCTGCCAGGTGGAGGCGGAGGCAGCCCTGGGGCTATGGCAGGCCATAGTATCACATAATTGTCCAGCAAAACGGGGACAGCAGTAGCAATGATCTGATCAAAAACTAACAAGTTACCGGCCTGTGCGGTCCAAATGTCAGACCAGCCCATCTGGAGAAGTCCAGATCTTTCCGATTAGCACGCCGGGCTTCATTTACCAGAAAACTTCAACTAAACTGTTTCTTTTAAACTCAAAGCAGCAGGTCCAGATCAATGTTCTCAGCCTTCACTGCTCTGCTGGGCCTCTCTGTCCTCTGGAGACTGTGCTTCTGATTCCTGGCACGTGCTCTGTGCCACCGTGCGTAATTCTTCGACATACAGTGAAGCTCTGATGCACCAGGACGCTCTGCTGTCTTGTCGTTCAAGTTTGGATTTTATTGCAGTGATCAGCCTGCTTCACCACTGCTGCTACTGCTGATCCAACAGCTAAAGGACTGAACAGTAACTGCTTCACCTCAGTGGTAACTGAGTGGCTGAGCTTTCACCATTTGTTYCACGATTTAATGTATTTAGATTTCCTTTGTGTGTGGCATTATTGATTTAACCCTTTTTTGTCTTTTAATGTTTGATTACTAACTTGTTTGTTTTATTTCTTTAATATTGCATGTTTTTTTGACAGTTTGGTGATTCAGTTTCAAGCTAATTTTTTCCCCTTGGGGACTAAGCAATATACTATTCGCAGCCAGGATGATTATAATGTAACTGTGTTTTTAAAAATAATCGTACTAAAACAAGTTATTTTTGTGCTACTCAGTCTGTTGTCCTGGTGAAATCCTGAACCTGCGTCTGTAAGGTTCTAGCAGGAACGAAGCCCAGGGCGCAGGCAGGCTCAAAAATATAACAAAAATTTATTTTTAAATAACAAAAGGAGGGCTGCTGGCAGCAAACTTACAAATATGAAGAATCACAGGCACGAGGGGAACAAAACTCGAAGAACCAGAACCAACACGAGAAACACATGGAACAAACAAAATGATCCCACACCAGACTGAGACAGGGTTTAAATACACAGACTAGTAATTGATGAACTGAAAACACCTGGTGAGAAACACGGGGGTGACAATCAGACAGACAGGGAGCAGCTGAGCTGTGACACACTGGGGAACACTGAAAACACTAGAAAACTAAGAAAATAAACACAGATCCTGACAGTACCCCCCCCAACCCCGGTGAAAAGATAACTCCGCCCCAAGGCGAAATTTGAAAAATGCATTAAAGTGGGTGGGGGGGTTAGAG